TGCTTACATTTCTTTGTAGGTTTTCTTTTTCCACACTATGGAATTGTAAATGGGTTATGGAAATTTTTAGAAGGTTCATTCAGGCGTTTTTACTTTTTGTTCTCCAAAAAACATTTTTATAATATTCTCTCAAAACTCAAAAAGATGGTATAATTCTTTATTATTTGAAAATTTGGTATAAAAGTAGAAAGAATTATTTAACATCATTTTCAGGATATGGACTCATATATCCGAATGATAGGATAACCTCTGGTTACTTCGATCAACACGAGACATTGAGTTATTGTAGTCTTGGACAGTATTTAGGTATTATTTTTATTTTCCACGGTGGTTGATAATTTTACCATTTGTGGAATGTGTGTGTTGGATATGGCATTTTTATTTGCAAACTGTAATGTCATTTTCAGAATTCCAGAAACCTTTCCTTTCTTTAATTTTGCATTTTTAACTGCCTCTAGGCTCTGCTTTCTGTCTTTCTTGAGTCTCTGTGATTTATTCCTATAAATTTTTTCATCTCATAGAGATTGACATCTTTCCATTAGCTCCATAAAGATCTACATTGTAATGGTCTTACTGTATTAATAACTCTGTCAACATATTCATTTATTTTCTGTAACAGAGTATTCAGTAAGTCATCTGTCAGTAACAAATTGAATAAAAACATTGGAAGTTTATTCTTAAAAACATCAAGATTCAATCCAAGTATTTTTTTAAAAATAAAACTTTTGATATTTTTTGAATCTTCTTTCCCATCGATACTTTAGTTACCCTCGCTTATTTTGTCATTATTTAGATTTATCAAGTCATTAAATTAATAGTAAACTTCTATAACTCTTGATCAGAGATTTCTGGTATTTCCATTTCTTGTATTTCTCATGTCCTTGTAATTGAGAATCAAGACTAGGAACAGCAGCTACAGAAATCCTTCCCCAATAATCTTGATCTGGATCAGAGTCTAATTCAGAACAAGATAACCTTCTATCAATACTAAAATCATCATTATCAAAAGAATCACATGATTCCACCTCTTCTGATTCCCATCATTCATTATCAGTTCGAAGGTCTCTTCGACATCTACAAGCCATTATATCTGCATAAGAAAACAGAGAATAAAAAGTTAATCAGACCAATAAAATTTTATTTGAAACAACTATATGTTAAACAATAAAAAAATAAATAATTAAAACAAATAAAACAATAAAGTAATTAAATAATAAAATAATAAAAAAAGGCGTTACCTCATGCAAGCTGTACAGTTACTTGAAAGGAAAAAAACTTTTTTTTGGAAAAAGTTTTGAAATAACTTCAACTGAAATAACTTCAACTTTATTGAATTCTAATAAAGCAACTCAATTAGCTTTTTTTGCTGAAGGGTTTTCCATATTCTGTATTAAAACATAAAACTGTATATAAAACTTCATATGCACTACAGAAAACGAGTATATTCATTTTCCGTAGTGCGCATAAAATCATATTCTGCACTACGTTTGTCATCAATAGTCAATAAAAATGATATTAAAAATATTATTTTTAAAGCTTGAATTAAATAAAAAAATATTTGGTTTGTGAATTTATATTGCCAATTATCCATCCTATTTTAGAGAAATTTATCCATCCTATTTTAGAGAAATTTATCCATCCTATTTTAGAAAAATTTATCCATCCTATTTTAGAGAAATTTATCCATCCTACTTTAGCAAGAATCACTGAATATCACTCTGTACACAATTACCAATCAAACTTAATATATTTTCAGGATTGGTTAAACTCTAGATCTTCAAATTAATTTCTCAATTTAAAAAAAAAGGTTATCTGGTCCTACCTTTTCTTCAAGAGTAACATTTTAATGAAAATGGAAAAAAAATATTTGCAGCTCTGTGAAATGCTGTCTGTAAGCAAGTTGGAGAATGTATTTGTCTAAAGAATTGTTTATTCTGTTCACAATTCTTTTTTTCATTCTTCTAGCATTAGTTAAGATGCTTGACTTGATGGCTTTTATATCTAGTCGTCACAGTGGGCCAAACAGCTGTTTTCATGGACATTGGTTCATAACTTTTGAACGGAAAGTGCTATGGGGTTGATTAAGGACTTTTTGGAAAGGTTTTTTTGTGTAAAGTTTGAAAAAACCAAAAAATAATTTTGCTACAGGATATTTAGGTCATAATTTAAAAAAACAAAATATTGAAAATTTTATAAATTTTGCTTTTTTATAGGTTATAACAAAAATACATATGTTTATAAACATGTATATTTTGTAATACAAAAATAACATAGGTACATCAACGACAAAAACGATAAAAATATGTTTATAAACATGTATATTTTGTAATACAAAAATAACATAGGTACATCAACGACAAAAACGATAAAAATATGTTTATAAACATGTATATTTTGTAATACAAAAATAACATAGGTACATCAACGACAAAAACGATAAAAATATGTTTATAAACATGTATATTTTGTAATACAAAAATAACATAGGTACATCAGCGACAAAAACGATAAAAATATGTTTATAAACATGTATATTTTGTAATACAAAAATAACATAGGTACATCAACGACAAAAACGATAAAAATATGTTTATAAACATGTATATTTTGTAATACAAAAATAACATAAGTACATCAACGACAAAAACGATAAAAATTATCAAAAGAAGTACTAAAATATGTAGTTAATTCATGTTAAAAACATTTTAATATATGTCATCTGTTCATGTTAAAAACATTTCAAAATATGTCATCTGTTCATGTTAAAAACATTTTAAAATATGTCATCTGTTCATGTTAAAAACATTTTAAAATATGTCATCTGTTCATGTTAAAAACATTTTAAAATATGTCATCTGTTCATGTTAAAAACATTTTAAAATATGTCATCTGTTCATGTTAAAAACATTTTAAAATATGTCATCTGTTCATGTTAAAAACATTTCAAAATATGTCATCTGTTCATGTTAAAAACATTTCAAAATATGTCATCTGTTCATGTTAAAAACATTTTAAAATATTTCATCTTCAGATAAAATGATAGAGACATTTTTTTTATGAGAATGTTTATCAGAATGCCCTCATTCATAACAAAATTTGCAGAATGGTTTTGACTTGTATCTCTTGTCAAAAAAAATATTTGATCAGATTATATCTACATTCAGTGAACGGTGTCTGTTAAATTGACAATTAAGGAGTTTTTCTTAAGAGTCTAGTATGTATAAATCCTAATATTTTGTTATTTCCTATTAACCCTGAATCATAAAGATTTCCCAAACCACTTTCTCATTATTTAAAATTACCTCCCAAGAATGACAAGTAGTTTGTTAAGTGATGGTGTTATACTAATCCATGGTCCAGGTAAATTTATTTTTGTAACAGGTGGAAACTCGTTAAATTGGAATAAAAATCTGTACAATAGCTTTTATATTGATCCATAAAAATTTTTCTTTTTGAAGAGCACCATTACTGAGAGCACCAATTCGAACTTTTGAAATGTTGCATGATATTAAATAGACAATTGTGCTATAATTAAATCCTTGTTTAATTTTTTGTGCAGCAGTTCTCTAGCTATATAACCAGTTGTTGTTGTTCATCTTTTTTCAATTGTTTTAGGGTAGTCCCATTTTATACCTGTTTTTTTAATATCTCTGTTTGTAATGAAGTCTCTGCTTGCTTCAGAAATCTATTTGAAGCACTAAAAGGGGACTCAGACCAATCTAAAACACCAGTTTTTGCATGTACAACAGTTTTCATGAAACTGTCTAATGTACCCAGCAAAGCATGAAGAACCTATAAAAACATCATTATTTTTTAAATGTAATAATTTTTTATATCAAGTATGTTCACATGTTAAAAATATAGAATAATATGAACACTATTACAAGATAAAAAAACAATTTTTGAACAAAGAGTTTTTTATTGGTTTGTATATAAATGCCTACTAAGAGCACAAACTGTTTAAATTGACATTGTTTTTATTGGAAACTTATTGAAAGAGTTATTCTTTAACATACTCTTCAAATAAAGGTTTCTTTACCAGACTTGAATTGTATACCAGCGTAGCCAGTTTTTTTAAGTCTGTTTTTCTTCAGATTTAGATCTTTGCCAGCTATTCTGAACAAATGTCAATTCATTTTAGCCAAGTGCATTAGCAATTATCAGTTTACATTCATTGTTATTAAACTAAAGATATAAATATTTTTGTTAGTTCATTATCTAATAACTTTTTGAACAAAACGATTTAAACTTTAAATAATATAGTTCAAAATATAAACAAGTTAACATGATAAGTAAAAATATTATATTATTACTATATATACCACAAGACCCTCAGTTTTGATTTTAACTCTTGCAATTTATTCATTTTGAAACAGACTTTAATGCTGCAATATTTTGTTTATCAATGGTTTTACTAACTAGATTAAATGTGATCAAAAAAAAAAGTTCAATGGAAAAGAGAGCAAGGGTGGATTTATTGGTCAAAAAGTGGTTAAAAAAAATCCTTTTTTTTTTTTTAGTTTCTAGACACATTTTTACGGAACACATCTTCCCTTTATAAAAATATGTGCAAAATAATGTAAAATTATTTGCATTAATATTTTTTAATATATTTTACAACAGTTTAAACTAAAGGGAGTCATTCTTTTACTTATTTTGTTTAAAAGTATTCCTCTTTGTAATAGGAATTGAAAAGTTTACTAGTGCCAACCTAGCACTTTTGACTCGTTTTTTTCATTTACTTTTGTGTATAAAAATTCCTTTCTTGTATCAAGTTTTTTTGTAAATTACATTTTTTTTTAAATCTCTAGGTAGTTTTTTGTTAGTTTTCCTTTACTCTAAAAAATAACTATTGCCAAGAGATTTAACTGGCTTGAAACTAAAATGGAAAAATTCATGAAACTGAATTAAAAAACTAACTTTCTTGCAAAATAATGGATGTCATTAAAGTAGAGTTTTATTTCTATACAATAAACTTATGTCATTAACATTTATTTTAGATGAAAAGTAAAGTTGCAGCAAAAACTGGGGGGTTAACATATCAATGGCAAATCATGCAAGCACTTGATATTCCTGATGACCTAATTAAAAAGTAATTATTTTCTAATATTTATATTTGTGTTTTGTTTGCAATTATCAAAAATTATTAATTATCAAAATTATGACTGAATATTTAATGCTTTGAAATGATTTTTTTGTAAAGATTCTCTGACACTGATTTTTGGTTGGAGTATTTTCCACCTCTTGCTATTAAAGACTTGAAGTCGATGGGTTTAAAAGTATATTTTTATATATTCAATAAATTTTTTTGTAAATGTTTATTAGAATTTTTTTTTTCAATTTTTATTTTATTTTGTCAAATGTTCTTTTTTCAATTTTTTTTATTGTTTTATTGTTTGTGCCAAGTTTCATTATTTGTGGCTATACAGTTTCTAAAATATAATTTCATATTTTCAATCAATCCTAAATGTTTAATAATAATAATCTCTAGGGAAAATAATTTTTTTTTTCTTTTCTTGTTTATTTTTAATATTTGTTTTTTTATGTTAATTTTATTGTTTTTTTGTATTTGCCAAGTTTCATTATTCATGCCATGTTTTTTATGTTTGTTTATGTTTTTTTATGTTATGTTTATGTTATGTTATGTTTTATGTTTGTTTATGTATTTTTACTAATAATTTATTAAATTGATTGTTTTTATTATCATATCAATTCAATTTCAACCATTATTATTTTAGGTTGATTGGAGAAGATCATTTATTACAACAGATGCTAACCCTTACTATGATTCTTTTGCTAGATGGCATTTTAATAAACTGAAAAGTTTAGGGAAAATTAAATTTGGGAAAAGGTTTTTTAAATTTTTTTTTTTTCAAAATTCAAAAAATTTCAAAATTTATTCTAGTTACTTCTAAAACTTGCAAAAATCATTTAAATTTTTTTACCAATTATCTGCACTGTTAAAAGTTTTTTTTAATTATTTTTTAAAAAGGTATACTATTTATTCAATTTTTGATAATCAACCTTGCATGGATCATGATCGTTTATCTGGAGAAGTATTTTTATAATATTTTTAACATTTTTTGTTTTAAATATTTTATAAATATTATAATATTATAAATATTATATTGCTGATGTTTACATCAGCACATATGAAGAACTTATTAACTTGAGGATGTTATAAATAGTCAAAAAGAACTAAGTTTCAAATTAAAATAAAAACAAATGAAAATGAGATGAAATTGAAACTACACCTCTCTTAGCCCCCTCCTTTCCCTCAACATTATTAACTCAGATGCATGAAATTTAACATTGCAATAATGTTTGTTGCTGACACGATTACACAAAACTAGTTTTTAAACATTTTTTTTCAAATAAAAAAAAAAAATTGGATTTTTTTTTTTCATTTAAATGCTTATATTATTATTACTAATTTTTATGTTTAAAAATAATTAGTTTCACCCTCCCAGCATGAAAATAAAAAAATAAAAGGTGAGCAGTCAATTTGACCGGCTAACAGATGGAACTGACTGTCTTTTTTTTTTTTCTTTTTTTTTAACAGTCCAAATTTTTAATTTTTTTTTATTTTTCAAAATTTTTTCTTAGTTATTTGACAAAATTTTTTATAAACAAAAATAACTTTAACAAATTTTAATGTTTAAAAATAAATGAATTCATACTCGTGTTAAGACAATAATTTTTAACAAAATCGATGCATTTTTTAAATGAAAATGCAGATAACTAACATTCAAATTGCTAATAGTTTAAAATAACTCTGGTGCACACAGATTTCCATTCAATTCAAAAAGGAAGGTTGATACCATCCCAGTAATTTAAATTCAAATTTTTTAATAAATATCTAAACAATTTTTGTAAAATATTTAAAAAATTTAAACTGAATACTTTATACTAAAAGAAATTGTTTTGTTAAATATATAACAATTACTTATGTACATAAAACAAATTTTTTACTAAAAATGTATTTGCAAATATTCCGTCTGATTCCTTGATTATTAGAAGAAGAAAATGCGCAAACGTGCAATTGATCATTTTAAATTTATTTAAATATATATTTATTCATTGTTAAAAAGAAATTTATTCATTACAATGATTTTGCAAATGGATGGAAAAACTACAAGAAAAAAATGAAAAGATTGAAAATTAAATAAAAAGTTTGAATGAAAAAAACAAAAAGTGCAGTGAAAAAGAAACGTTCTTATTTACGTGTGTAGTTATTTAAATCTATATGAACAACAAGTCAAACGTTTAATGTAAGACTTATGATGATATACTATAAGTATAATTATGATGACATAAGTAACAAAGATATTTTTTAAATTTCTCTATTAAGTTTTATTTGAAATTTATTAAGAAACCAGACTTGATTTTAAAGCAAATCAAGTCTAATTCCTTAAATAAGTTTCAAGAGAATGAATCAAAAAAAAAAACATTGTTGAATAAATATTTTACAAAAATTTTTTAAAGCTCTCATACCAACAACACATAATCCCCAAAATATTTAAAACTTTCTCTAATCTATAAAAATTTTACTGATACTCTTTACCAAGTCGACAATTTTAATGACATCTTTTAAAGAGCCAATAAAAACATAAAATAAGTTGTTTTTAGGTCCTTTTTGCTTTCTATTTTTGTAATGTATTTATATTTATTACCCAAGTATTATTTAAATTTAGTACTAATATTATACATGTTTTCACTAGGGTGTTGCACCTCAAGAATACACCTTAATTAAAATGCAAGTTGTGGAGCCTCTACCTCAAAGTTTGAAGTATACAATTATACATATATAAATTTATAAAACCCTTTTGTTAGTTTTATACAAATAAGGAGAAAGAAGGCTAAATAACTTGAAACTGTATATAGTATTTTATATTTTAGAAAAACATAAATTTTAGTTTGAAATTAACTTTTAATTTTTTTAGTTGTTTAGAAGGTAAAAAAGTGTTTCTTGTTGCAGCAACCTTGAGACCTGAGACAATGTATGGACAAACAAACTGCTGGATTCATCCTGAAATAGAAGTTTGATTTAGTTCAATTTTTAGATTTATTGTAGACTTTACAGATTTAAATATTTTTAGCATCAATTTAATTGCATTATTTATTCGTTATAGTATATCGCATTTGCATCATCAAAAGAAAATGAAGTATACATAAGCACAGAGCGAGCTGCAAAAAATATGGCATATCAAGGTTTAACCCAGAAAGAAAATCAAGTAGACATTCTAGTAAAGTTAGTTGGAATGGATATAATGGGAGTAGCTTTAAATGCACCATTAACAGCAAACAAGATTATTTATACTTTGCCTATGTTAACCATAAAATCAGACAAAGGTTTCGTTTGTTAAATTTTTTTTCTTCTTATGAGTAGTTGAGATAAATATTTATATTTTATGTAATATTTTTTAGGAACTGGAGTTGTAACTTCTGTTCCATCTGATGCTCCTGATGACTATGCTGCTCTCAGAGATCTTAAAAAGAAAGAACCTTTTCGTAAAAAGTACAATATAACAGATGAAATGGTTTTGCCATATGAACCAATTCCAATTATTGAAGTCCCTGATCTTGGTAATCTTTCAGCTGTTGTTGCTTGCGATATGTTTAAAGTAAACAGCCAAAATGATACTAAGCAGCTAGCTGATGCCAAAGAACTTACATACAAAAAAGGTTTTTATGATGGAATTATGCTAGTAGAAGAGTATAAAGGTCAGAAAGTACAAGATGTCAAGAAACTTGTTCAAACTAAAATGTTTGCAGAGGTACTAAAATTAGTTAAAAATTAATATTTTGAAAAAACTGTTAGAAACAAGTTAGGGGCAATATGTTTTCAATATTTAATTTCTGCAGATTGATGTTGGTACAGTGTGAATATATTCTATTTAATTTCATTTTTGAAGTTTTAATCCAAACTTTAATAAGAGTTTTTTAATTAAAGAAGAAAAATTAAAATGCTGAAAGTATTTTGAATGTCTTTCATAAATAGATATATGGAATTGACATTTTGTTAAGTAGTTTTAACAATGCTGTTTTTAATAATTTCTTAACATGCAGGTTATAATTACTATTATATTAGCTTCAAACAACTGTGAATAGAAGACCAAGCCATTGTTAGGGTTTGATATATTACTTCATGAATTACTAATTTAATGTTAAAAAGCAAAAAAGTGGTGAAAAATAGTCATAAACAATGTCATAAAACTCTCTTGAAATTTTTTTGACAAAAGTCATATAAATTTTTATATCAAGATATAACAGTATTTTTGTATTTTTTATTCAGTGTTATTCATTGTTAAGATTTTTAAATCAAATCTGTTTAGAAAACAAATTTGATTTAAAATGATCATAGTCATTATTTTTTAATTCAAATTAAACGGTGCTATCAAGCAACAAAAAAAACATGTTTTCCCCAAGGTAATATAAATTTTGTGCAATTCTTGAGTCAACTCTTTTGCAATAATTTTTTTATATAGCTGATTACTGCTTTGCCTTTCAGTCTTGCTGCAACTGCAACTAGAATCAACTTGGTGATTTTTCCAGTGCTTCTAAGTATAGAAAAACTACATTCTGAAATTTCTACCACAAGTCTCGTATTACATGAAACATTAAATAAGAAAAGCCAACTTTGGATTGATTTTAAAACGAGATCCAGAATCTGGAGCAACCTCTATGCTGTTTGTCATGATGGTATACTAGTAGTGTACCTAGTTCAATGATTTCTGTTCACAAAGTAACATCAATGTATCAAATCATTTTTGTGAAAGAAGCTGTTGTTTATTGTTAAAAAACATGCAATTATTTTAGAATTTGTTATCGACAATGATAAAAATATATATACTAGATAACTCACTGTCATAGTGAACCATTAACCAACATGCTGCTGTAGTGAAGTAATTTTTTTTTTTTTTTGTCAGCCACACTAAATTAGAAGATGTCAAGTATAAAATGGAAAACAGTTGATGTTGAGTATTCAGTCACAATTTCTAATGAAATAAATGAAAAAAATTACTGAAACAAAATTCTCTACAAATTTTACTTAATTTGAATTTTACAAAAAGATTAAAACATTGAAACACTCAATAACAGCTTTTCTAGACTGATTTTTATGCGCGCAAAAAATGTTAGTTAGACTGATGCATGTCAGTTTAAGTCTGCTTTAAAAAATTTTTTATTAAAAAACATAGGAGATCAAAAAATAGCAGTTGTCTTACTTTTGTATATTTGTGAAATGTTTTGTGGAAATTGTAAAAAAAAAAACTTAATTTTTAAATTAAATAACAATAGAAATTTCAGTTTTCAGTTTTTCCAACTGAAATTTTGTTTCTTACCAAATTTATAAAAAGTTCCGATACCTAAATTTCAGTATTGGTCAAATTAAAATTTTGGCTAATGATCAACTATACATTAGATTCATGATATTGTGTTTTAATTTAAATAAAATGTTTTGTTTAAAAGTTTATAAAAAAATATACAATTCTATTTTTATCTTACTAACGTGTGTCAAATAAGAAAGTTACTTCATAAAATAATTTTTTATACTAACAATAATTCTTTATAGTTTCTTATTAAATTATTGTGAAATATTTGAGAATTTTAAATTAAAAAACATAAAACTTTTAAAAATAAAAACTTACCTCATCATTTATGCCAACACTGATGACTTTTTTCTTCTTTGAACGTGCATATTGAATATATATTTTTTATAACAACAATTCAAAGTTTTTTCGCTTTTAAGTTATAGTTGTAAATGTATAAACAAAGTTGCCAACTTTTTGTGTAATATCTTTATATTAAGATAATTTTTCCTTATGTTTTTAAAAGCTTATGTTTTTATAAATAACAGTTAACAGATATAATAAATTTGTTGATGTTTTAAATGAATTTTGTTTTGTTTTTATACCCGAAAGAAAACAAATGTTTTACTTAATATCATTGAATATGGATAATCAGAAAATCAATCAGCAATACTGCAAAGTTTTCAATAGAGTTACTGATTGTGAGGCCATTCATCCATAAAATTATTTACATTTTTTGTTTCTTTTGTTTGATACAGTTCATCTACTTGTAAATGCAACAACTGATATTCTGAAAAGTTTCCAAAGCTTTCTCTCTCCAATAAAAACATTAGTTCGGTTTCTGATGTGAAAAATCTAAATCAATACGAGGAAGGGAACATTTTGAAGTCAGTTCCTATATCTTTCGCTGCTGTTTATTTTTCTAGGCTTTAATTACAGGATGCGTTTTAAGAATATTTAATGAGAAAGTAGAAGTTTTGAAACTAAAAGATTTTTTAAAACTTTCATCTAGCAGATTTAAATCTGTGCAAGATAAAAATGTTAAACTTTTTAACAAATTTTTGAAGAACAATTTAAATGTATGTAATGTATGCTATCAGTGCATAATCCTAAAAGACTTAATTGTGTTACCCATGATAGCAAAAAAGCACTTTTGCAACGCAATGAATGGTTGTTAGCTGTCTTCAAGTTTTTTTTTTGCTTTGTGGGTTACTCAGTCAGAGAATCAAAGGAGATTTTTATGTTTATAGACAATTAGAATGGTCAAATGCTTTTATAAAAGCTGGTGATGTTTTCTCTGCTTTTAAAAAGCATTTAGCTTGAATTGCAGAATCTTTTTTAAAACCAGTGAAAGTAGGATATCTCAATAAAAAGGTCACATTAATATCCAATCAGTATTGAAGATATAATTTCAATTGAAACATGTATTTATTATGTGAGTCTTTCTGAAACTGAAGAGAAAAAATGTGAGGATAAACTAGTTTATTAAGAAAAAATGGACCTACACTAATAAATAAAGCTCAAGTCTTTATTGAAGAGTTATCAAGGGGATATTTGACAGCTCTACCTGAGTTTACTTATTAGCTAGTAAGAATTGGTTTATGCTTAGTGAAAAAAACCAAACTAAAAGCATGTTATAGTAGATAAACCTATATTAACACTTATAAACATTCTGTCTATAATCGAAGCTCTAATTTTGGTGTATCATCATAAAGGATTTCAGGTATTTAGCAAATATGCATCTGCAGAAAATTTGACGAAAGAACGTCTTTTTCAGATATCAATAGCATAAAGTTAATTTTATGTAAACATTAAAGCAAACACAAAAACGACATAACAAAAACAAATAAAAAAAAAGCAAAAAAAATAAAAATAAAAAAACTAAAACGAAATAGAATTATTAAATAGTCTTTGCTAATAAACTCATAAATTTACTTTGGACGTCCTTTCTTTGCTGTAAAATCCAAAATTTTATATCATGTTGAATATTTTAAGATTGTTCTACCTATTTAAGTCAGTTTATATATGTACACTTCTGTCAATGAAACAAAAACAATATATATATATATATATATATATATATATATATATATATATATATATATATATATATATATATATATATATATATATATATATATATATATATATAGAGAGAGAGAGAGAGAGAGAGAGAGAGAGAGAAATATCAATAGTTAAAAAAGCTTTTTAGCCATAATTATTGCGGTTTATTAAAAAATCATAAAACTTTATGTACTTCCGCAACTATTTAATTGTTTTAAAATTTAAATGACCATTAAATGTTGGCGGTTACTTTAATGTTTAAAATCAGAGAAAGAAACTTTTTTTTACCATTGAAATCCATACAAAAAGCTATATATACACACAAATTTTTTTTTTTTTTTTTTATTTTCATTCACCTCCTCAAGGCCGAGAAGGCCACTACAGACGAGGAGGCTACTTATTTGTGGCTATAACCCTCTCTCAACTCTATAACTCCGAAACACGAACCTTGACAAACAAGGCCGCTGCGCGGTGAAATGAGTTGAGCGCGGTACTACCAGGGACGTGGTGGGGATTGAACTTGGAACCACTCGTTTATGAAGCGAGCGCTCTACCACTACACCACTACTGCATATACATATATATACATAAAATACATATATACATATACAAATATACAATACAAATATACATATGTGTTTAGGGTGCTGCTTTAAAGTATTTAGAACCAGAAAAAAAGGTTGTTTCGAGATCAGGTGATGAATGCATTGTAGCTCTTTGTGACCAATGGTGAGTTCTATTGATTTTAATAATATTTCTAATATTTTTAAAATGTTTTTTAGTTTTTTGAAAAATTTGAATACTATTTTCTGTGATGTTTTTTTTTTTTAATTATTATTAATTTTTTTCTTTATTATGCAAATATATATTTTTCTAAGAAATATTTTGATTGCTTTGTTTCCAAAATTATTAAACTAAAATTTAAGTTAACTATGAGTCATCTTTGAAAGTACCAAATATATTATGCATAGGGGAATAAATATTATTAAAGGATGTAAATATTTAGCATTGACTTATGAAAAAGAAAACAAAGTTTTGAACTTTAAAGTTATGGCTTTAAATTAAAACCTATGAAACAGAAAACAATGTTTTAAATTAAAAGCTTCAAATTTAAAAAGTAAAGGTGTTTAATGAATTTTGAGTGCTGAGAAGTAACCTAGTTATTTCTTAGCACTTCTCATGTAAAAAGTGCTGAGAAGTAACCTAGTTACTTCTCAGCACTTTTCAGTTTCAGTTTCATTCAGCACCTAGGTTCTGAGAACCTAGGTGCTGAATGAACGCAATTTCCTCATATCATTTTTGTGCTCCTAATGTAGAAACGTGTGCTTTAATATTTCAGAAAAATACGAAGAATAATGAAATATATATATATATATATATATATATATATATATATATATTTCATATAAACTTGAATATAAACTTAGATAATATAAACTTAGATAATATAAACTTAGATAAAAATTAAATAGATAATATAAAATAGATAAGAGATAAAAATTAAATAGATAATATAAACTAAAAAAATTATTTTATCAACTTGTTGCTCCCATGTTAAGGGCTGGGTGGGCCCAAAAATTGGGGTTTTTTTGTCCCCAAGCTCCAATCACCACAACATTCTCATTTGACATAAGTATGAACATACAAAAGTTTGGATACCTGTAAGTGTCAAAACTCAAACATCTAAAAGTCCGGTGTACACCACTGTATATACATATATACATATATATATATATATATATATATATATATATATATATATATATATATATATATATATATATATATATATATATATATATATATATATATATATATATATATATATATATATATATATATATATATATCTAGGGCTATTCTAGGAAAAAAATATGGCCAGCGGTACCCCTCTGTATCGAAGAAATTTAGCGGAAATATTGCCGAATAATCGCAGAAAAAAACATAAAAAAAAGGTCCTTGATTTTTAATTTGGGCGGCGCCCAAATATAGTTGACACTGTCAAAAACGGTCTAGAATGGCCTCTGTATATATTTTTTAAGCATTTACCACAAAATATGTATATTTTGTGGTAAATGCTTAAAGAAGCTATTACCTAATTCCATTAACTAAAACTCATGCTTGCTTGACTTTTCATTCAGCAAAATTGTACCCTTTTCCTGTATCTGTCTCAGCATACTCAAAAAACTTTTTATTCATCTAGTTTTTTGCTCCGCACAAATCCTTTGGAACTCTCTCCTATTTTCATGTTCTCCTGACTAATACAACCTACAACTTTTCAAGTCTTCTGTCAACTGTTTCCTTGCTCTTTATCTTTTTGTTTTCTAATAACTTTCAACTTAATAGTGGTTGCTTGCAGCTTTGTTGGAAGTGAATTCCAATAAAAAAAGAAAAAAATTAATATTTTTACAATTTCTTGTGTAACCTATGATTTCTTGTTTGACTAATGAAACTTCACTGACTATAATTTTAAAGTTTGTTTATTTTTAACTTAATTTTTTTCTTGTATAATGTTATAATTGCTGACTTTTTTTTTCTAATATCTTAGGTATTTAGACTATGGTGAAGAAAATTGGAAGAATAAAACAAAAGAATTATTGAAAAGTTTAGAAACGTATGTTTTATTTACATATATATATACATATATATATATATATATATATATATATATATATATATATATATATATATATATATATATATATATATATATATATATATATATATATATATATATATATATATATATATTAACATTTTTAACTTATTTTTTGCTTATTCTTTAATTAAACAAAAGCTTTATATATACACATGTATAATACCATGCATTATATGTATACACATGTATGATACCATGTATTATATATATACACAGAAATAGAAACTAAATTAATAAATTTCAGTTTATATATACACATGTGTAATACATGTGTATATATAAAGTGAAATTATATATATAACATGTATTATATATATACACATGTATAATACCATGCATATATTGATTTGGGTAGGTACTATTTAAATGTGAAGGACATTTAATATGGGAAAAAAATTTTAATCATAATGAATACTTTTCTTAAATTTTATAAAATCTATTTAGGTATTGCTTAATTATGCCCAAACTGACATACATCCTAATCAACATGCATCCTAATTGATAATAAAATCAATATGCTTCTTTTGAATCTGAATTCAAAATTTAATAGTTCTTTCTTACTTTTAAGGGGGTAAAAATGCTTCCTTAAAGGAAACCTTTAACATTTTTATAATGGTTTTTTTGTTTATATTCAAATATAAAAATTATTTTTAAGGGGAACAAAATGCTTCCTTAAAGGAAACCTTTAACTTTTTTGAATAGTTTTTTTTTATATTCAAATATAAAAATACCTCCCTAGGCTCCATAGGGAGCCACTACAGTTAATGAGGCAATTTAATAATTTAGTTTCTATTTGCTCCTATTATATAATTTATTATTACTAATAAGTGTATTCTTTTGTTTTTATTTTTAATTCTTAACTCTAACCTTTGAAGCACAAACTTTGTTAAACAAGGTCACTGCATGGTGAAACAGGTTGAGCGTGGTACTTCTAGAGGTTCAAACTTCTTGATTGCCAAAGGTCCTATCACTAGTTTACTACTGCATTTTGTAAAATAAATTAAATAAGCTAAATTTATTCTAAACATTTTATGCTTTTATGTGAAATTGCATATTATTTTAGTATAACATTTATTTACGTGTTGCTTGAATATTTGCTCTGTATATAATGAATTTTTTGACTATAAACAAATATCATAATTCAAATGAATGTTTTTTTTATTATAATTTGTTAGAGTTTATTATAGTTTGTTATAATTTATTAAAATTTGTTGATAGTAAAATGAGTTTTATTATACAGATTTTCAGATGAGACAAAACATAATTTTGCAGCTACGTTAGAATGGTTACATGAGCATGCATGCTCTCGTTCTTATGGATTAGGTATTTTACTCTATTTAATATGCTTGACAATTATTTTATTTTATATAAATTAGTTAAATAGTGTTTAGTTAAATTTAACTTTTGTACCAGCCATCTTCCTATAGGGTAAACTGGGGTAAAGTGAACTGTTTTTGAAATTTAAAGGAAAATTTTTCAGAAAAAAAAACTACTATCTTGCAGTTTTCAAAATTCATACTGTTTTTTTATACCAAAATTTATACCATTATACCAAAATAATACCAAAATTTATACCATTATTAGGTACAACATAAAACAAAATACTAAGATTAAAAATTACTATTACAATACTAAATATATATTCAAAAAAAAATATGTTCACTAGTTCACTTTACCCCCCATTGGGGTACATTGGGGTAAAGTGAACTACTTCATCTTTAACTCTTCTATGTTTGTTATTTTTGATGAATTATTTTTTTTATTTTGTATTTTGCCTTGCTGGTTGATCTTTCTTTTGACAAGTATTGTTCTGATCATTGCCATTGGTGTTTAAAGTGATGTTTTGAGGGATGTTATTGTCACAATTATTTGTATTCTGAGAAAAAGGTGTTAATAGATTTGAGAAGGAGCTAACTTGTCAGATGATACATCAGATGGATCAAGGTAAAATATCTCAGTTTTGACAAATAATTTTACTAAATTAGCTGGCTTAAAAGAGGTATCATGAAGTTTTTTTTAGTAAAGATGGAAAAACAGATTTCCCAACCACCTTCAGCTTTGGCTTGGTATACCAATTAGCCAGAGTTTAATGCCATACATATTTAACTTAAACCAAAACTCCCACATTAAGTGGCTGTAGCAAACAGTGTGCTGGCAAACACAAAATAGTTATAATTTTCGATTGCTTTTTTAACAGTTTCTAAAGAAATATGACTCATGAGCATCAAAGATTAGCAATGACCCATATGTTTGAAGGTTTACCTACTGAGAATTAGATATGTTATACTAAAATTAGATGCATATGTTTTCCTTTGAGATTCTTTTTTCTTAATGCTGTTTCTTGGCATTATTTTAGTATTATATATTTCTGAAATAAATTTCAAGAAAATTTCTACAACAAATATTTATTTTAAGAGTAAATAATTTAGTAATTATGATGTACATTTAATTATAAGTATTAATTATAACTATTAAATATAAGTAATTACGATGTATATATACAGTTCTACTAAAAGTATTTGATGAAAAAGCATAACAAAAAGGCTAGTTTATTTTACTCCAATTAGACAGAAAAATGAGGAGTAAAGTGAACAAAATTGGTTTACAAACGAAAAACTGTGTTATATCATAGTAAAAACTAAATTTTTTGTAAAGCAGCATTATATTATCTTCAAAATGTAATAATAATATAACAGATATTCGCATTAACAACAACAAAACTTAAGTTTAGTAAAACCTATCGCAAAGTTTGATAACGTAGTTTTAAAACTTCCGCAAAATTCATTTTTTTAAATGGCTTTTACATCAAAACAAAAGCTATATTTTTAATTTAATTTTTTTTTAAATATTAAAATGTTGTATAAAGCAAAAATAATGTTAAATTACTCAACAAAAAGTTTTTTAAAGGTGATAATTTTTTAATATAAAAAATTAGTTCACTTTACCCCAGTTTACCCTATTCATTTTCAACATCTTCTTGCAATCATTTGCAGTCATTCACAATCCTCTTATATTTATTTTTATCATTCTCTTACAATCATATTCAAATTTGTGATGCTTAAATTAAAAGATTAGAAGTAAAAAGAATTTAAATTGCTGTGTCATAAAATGTTTTGTAATAAATATTTTTATTTATTTTATCTAATGACTGACTATTTATAGCTTAATTACAGTTATCTTATAACTTACACTCATAACTTAATCTCACTTATTTATGACTTAATTTCACTTATTAGGTAAGGTACAAATTATATAAATTTGTAATCAGTTTTACATTTGCTTTTAATGCAAGTAAAAATCTGAATCTGTCTAACACTAACTTAATTATGGAGTTTAATCTGTAAACTACATTTGTAAGAATTGTTTATTTGTTCTGTGTTGAAGATAATTCAAAAAAATATTAAAGAAACCATGTGTGTGAGTGTGTGTGTCTATATATATATATATATATATATATATATATATATATATATATATATATATATATATATATATATATATGTTTTAATCAAGCTCTTTTTAAAATTAATATATTTAAACAGTTTTTTGTTTTAGGTAGCAAAATCCCATGGGATGAAAAATATTTGATAGAATCTCTCTCTGATTCAACAATTTATATGGCTTACTATACAGTAGCTCATTTGCTCCAAGGTGGTAATGTTAATGGATCAGTTGTAGGGTCATCTAATATTAGGTATGCTTTTGTTTTATTGTTATATAAATATTTGAAGTTTTATAATTTAGTTTTTTAAAAATTTGAATTTTTTGGTTTAATTCTAGACCTGACCAACTCACAGAAGAAGTTTGGGATTTCATATTTTTTAAAGACAGACCTATGCCATCCAATACACAAATTGATCCTGACTCTCTTAGGTTTTTAATTTTTATAGTTGAAAATGAAGATGATTTTGAAATTTTACTATAAGACTATAAAGAATGCTGTTTTTTGTCAACAGAAATTTTTTAATTATGTATTATAAAAATGTGTGTATATGTGTATGTTTATATATGTGTGTGTATATGTGTGTTTGTATATATGTTTGTGTGTGTGTGTATATATATATATATATATATATATATATATATATATATATATATATATATATATATATACATATATATATATATATATATATATATATATATATATATATATATATATATATATATATATATATATATATATATATATATATATATATATATATATATATATATATATATATATATATATATATATATATATATACTTATATGTGTGTGTGTGTGTGTGTGTATATATATATATATATATATATATATATATATATATATATATATATATATATATATATATATATATAAATATGTATATAACAATATATATATATATATATATATATATATAACTTACATACAAAAAAAAAATATATATATTTATATATACACACATTATATTAATATAGAGTATCATTATTGAACCAAGTCAGTGCGTATTACAAACAGGGAGGCATTTCGCCCTTTAGGGCTTATCAGCAAGATGTGGTGCTGGGGGTGTGTGAACACACCAGGTCACATTCTTGGCAGATCAATAATACTTGTGGTGCTACAATCCTACTCAGAATTGTGGAAAAAACCTTATTATATGAAAAAGCACCTCATACTGCACCTTGTAAATATGCTTTTACAGTGCTAAACTTTTGAACACTGTTGTTTAGACCTTGTTATAAGATTTTATTGCGTCACAAAACTGCTTAACATTAATGAATTTAACTTTTACATTTGATATTTACATTGTTAAAAGTTAAATGATGTATTTTAAAATACTGCTTTAAAATATGCTAATGATGTAGTAAATTACTGTAATTAAATTTGATTTTTGCATTATAAATAATTTAAACTAATTAACAAAAGTTTTATTAAAAAGTTATATCAAATCTAAATTCGGTATTTGAAAAAGATTTTATTTCTTTATAATTTCTTAAAATAATCTTATACTTAATATAATCTTTATTAAAACTTTTTTTTTTAAGTATTTAATGTAGTATTTAATTTAAAGATTATAAACAATTTTTTATAGATTTTATCAGTTACCAATAAGATATTCGTAAACATGATTCATTTTCATAAATAAATGATATCAAAAGAACTTTACACGATATTGAATTAGTACAGAGCTCGAATTGAGTGACCGCGTTTTGTGATATCTGGAAATGCTTCTGGTCTTTAAACTTTTAGCTTTTTAAAAATTGTAAAACTGTTTTGATCATTAAACTCAATAGCTTTTATTCAATAAAAAATATTTATGTTGATCTTGAATTAATATAAAATCCTATTTGTAAAACCATATTATTGTTATTATTTTATTATTGTTAAAGATTATGATTTAAATTTTAATGTTTTAATTCATTTTATAAATTAGATAAAACTACAAAAATAAAACACATTATAATTATTAAAAAACGACTGCTAATCACAATGGTCTAAAGGAATTTAGCAACAATCAAATATTTTAAATAAAAGAAATCGTTAAGTAAGATATAAAATACTTTTATATTTTATTTAAATCTTATTCAATATTTTTTTATAAATTTATAAATTCAATATTTTTTTATAAATTAAATGCTCCTAACTCTTTTGCAGATATGTATAAAAAATTAAAAGAGTTTAAAAATATATAAAACAATTTTTTTTATATTTTTAAACTTTTTATTGTTATTTTAAAACCAAACAAAAAAAACTTTAACAACTTATTTTAAAATATATCTTTTTTATTATTTTTGTATTATCAATTAATTTCTAATTTAAAACATTTAAATTTTTGAATAAATAATTCATTAAACTTTCCCCATAAATAAAAATCTATAATAATGTTTCGTACAATTCGCAAATAGCGAATTGTACAAAACATTGATTTTAAAATTACCCTGCAAATTTTTCAGACATTTAGTAAAAATAATTTTTATCTTATCACTTTTTTTTTATTTATAATCCTTAAATTACCTGGTATTTCAAGAAATAATAGTTAAAAATATGTAAGTTTTGACTGTTACTATTTTTGCAGTAGTAAATTTATTGTTTTGTTTTTTCATTAATTTTTGCAATATGTTAAATTGACCGTTTCAGCTTTAAGATTTTAAATAAACTTGTGAAAAAAATTCTCTTAAACAAAAACACTTATTTTAGGAAAAAAAAAATTTCCATATTTTAATCAATGGAGATACATGTTTTATGTAATGAATTAGTTAACAGGTGATATAAAAAAAGTTTGTTTTTTAATAAATGTTGCAAAACTATTTTACATTCCTTTGTAACTAAATTTTTCTTTTTACATTTTACTATTTTTCATTCCTTCAAAACTAAATTTAGACTTTTTAATTTTTAAAATTATATTTAATTTAAAGTCTTTTAATTAAAAAATGAGTTTATATAAAATAATCGTTTTCTTTAAAGAGACTACCAAGTCCCGAGACATGTTGTGTTAATATTAAAGAGAATGTTAAAAAAAACGTCTAAGCAAATTTTTTTTTATTAAAACATGGGCCATGGCGATAGTGGACCTAGGGACCCCTATGGTGCCAAATCAAGTTATATAATATCTCCGATGATTCACGAGTGTGTTCTTTACATTTTGATTCAAGTTGTTTCGACAAATCTAACGAACAGTTAATTAAACCAAACTAGGAAAAGATATAAAAAATAAGAATATACTGATAAAATATATAATTTGTTATTAACTTTCAAAATTTATATATTAAAAAACATTTATTTTTGTAATCAAATGATAATAGTTTAAAAGATCTACGGCTTTGCAGATGTGGCTCTGAGAATGAGCTCTGAGAATGAGCCATAATATTAAAGTAATAGTTCATTTGATAATATATTCTTTAAAAAATTTATGCTAGATATCTTAAAACGCAACAAATCGTAAATAATACAATTCCTAAAACATTTCAACAGAATACTCTAGAATTTTATTTTGCTTAGTCAGCATATTTTTTAAACCAATATAATTAGTTTGTTCGTAAATTTGGCGGGTTTTTAGTGTTTGCGAATAATCTTTTTATTCTTCCGCAAGATGTTTTAAGAACATTCAAGTTAATTATGTTTCCATGTATGTCTGTAAAATAAAAAAATATATTAATTTTTTAATTTTTAAGCCCCCGCCATAATATATATTGGATGTTATAATAATGGAAATATAAATAATGAAATAAGATCACCTCAATACCAAAAAATACATTTTTGAAAATCAGAGAAAAAATGTGTTAATAATTTTTTTTTAATATTTACAAAGTAAATTAATAAAAGTACATTATTATTTAGGTTAAAAATTATTTTATCTAAAATTTTAAAAGAAAAACTTATAACAAAAGAAATCAAAATACATGTGGTCTAGACAATTATTTAAAAAAAGTTGCGCAAATAAAATACTATTTAGTTTTTAATTTTTTTACAAACACATTTTAGAACTTTAAGATATAATATATGAATATGATTTGGAAATTGCATGTAAAAAATAATAATCGGTGTTTTAAACAAAAATCTATGATGTCATGTAATAAAACTTCTATGAATTAAACGCACTTGAATAAATTATCAAGTCTGTATAATGCACCTGGAAAATTGCGTTTATTTTACAGACTTAAGTACTGCAGAAAATGGAGAAGACAGGCTTTGACTAAAACAACAAAATTTGTTTTTCTTGGTATACATTTATCAATTAGTTTTAATATAAAAAATTTGCTCAGACGTTTTTTTTTTAATATTCTCTTTAATATGAACACAACATGTCTTGGGACTTTGTAGTCCCTTTAACAAAAAAATTTAAATGTTTTTTATTTACAACTTTATATTTAATTTACTGTGAAAACATCACATAAACTTGATCAAAAAAAAAACTTAAATATTCCAAAAAAATAAATTTTTTTTTTGCTTATCATAAAACTGCTGAATGCGTACACAAATTGCCATTTCGTATGTAAAATGTGAGCTGCGTAATGCTTTTTAACAAGGCCTCTATATGTGTGTGTGTGTGTGTACACAGTTAAACTCGTGTAGTTTAAATCCTCAAGGAGTCTGGAAATGTGTTTGAATTTTAAAAGTTTTCAAGTTTTGTTGCAATTTAAAAACACGCTTTAAATTTTTTGGAGAGCACTTAAAAAAGCGCTAGCCATAGTATTAGCGGGCGTGTGGGCAAGCGCAAAACTGCAAGAGCGCAAAAGCGCTCGTTAAACAGAGAAAACTGGTGGTGGGGAACCCCTGATTTATAGTATTTATGGTGGCAGGATTAATGGGGTTAATATCTGAAAAATCAGAATTTAAAAAAATCAAAATTCAAAAACAATTATGTTATTGATAGTATTTTTAGAGAAAGTTTTATTAATTTTTTTGTAGCTATAATGTTTTATTGAAAATTGTTTATTGTATAAAAGTTTATTTTATTGTTCTCATAAATATTTTTTTAAATATAATTGTCTTTATTTACTTTTATTCTATTATGGTATTTACTTTTATTACATTATGTTTCTATTATTTATCTTTAGTAAACTAAAGCATGAGTTCGAATATTGGTATCCCCTAGACTTACGTGTCTCTGGAAAAGATTTAATTCCAAATCATTTAACTTATTTCTTATACAATCATGTTGCTGTCTGGGCTGATCAACAAGAAAAATGGCCGAAGAGTGTTCGTGCTAATGGTCATCTTCTTTTAAATTCAGAAAAAATGTCAAAATCTACTGGTAACTTCTTGACATTGGAGCATGCAATAAAAAAATTTTCTGCTGATGGTATGCACTTTTTGTGCTTTTAATTATAGTTTAGAGCTAAGTTATTTTTATTAAATTTAAAAAACAGGAAATCAGGTTTTCTATTGCATCACCTTACTTTATACAGCAAGTTTTTTGCTAATTCAAAAATCCAAAATGTGCAGGTTTTAAAAATGATTTTATTTTACTTAAGCACATTAGTTAATATGTTAAAGTGATTTTACTTAACACATTATTTTATATGTTGAAGTGAGTTTACTTGAACACATTAGTTTATATATTGAAGTGATTTTATTTGAACACATTAGGTTATATGTTAAAGTGATTTTACTTGAACACATTAGTTTATATGTTGAAGTGATTTTATTTGAACACATAAGTTTCTATATTGAGGTGATTTTACTTGAATACATAAGTTTATATGTTAAAGTGCTACTTTTTCTGGTAGAAGCAAAAAATAAAATTACATGAGTCTAAAGCCAAACAATTTAGCAAAAATTATCTTAACTGAGTTTAAAGTTATTCTTTTATAATTTGGTAATCGAAAGACAATTTTATTTTTGTTTTTAATTTTTCTTAAATAATCTGATTCTATTAACCTTTCAGAAGATCAATAAGTATTTAACATTAGGATTTAAAATTTTTTGTTCTTCAAAATAATTGTTTGAGGTATCCAATTGAAATGTAGGAATGCGGCTTGCACTTGCTGATGCTGGAGATTCTATTGAAGATGCAAATTTTGTTGAAAAAACAGCTGATGCTGCTATACTTAGATTGTTTACGTTTGTAGAGTGGACAAAAGTTTGTTTATTTTTTTACTTTTTTTTTTTTTTTTTTACATTTTTTGTCTCTTAGATATTTATTTTATTTTTTTATTATATATTTTTTTTTAATTATTAACAATAATCATATGTAGTGAGCATGTATTCTATATACAATAATAATTAGTTTATGTTGTATTTTATGTTTTTATGTTGTGTTTGAAAAATCTATTATATTAATTGATATAGGAAATGATAGAAAATCAAGAGAATTTAAGATCTGGTCCATTTAATAACTTTAATGATAAAGTTTTTCAGAAGTAAGTTAGCATTTTCATAATTTTTCATAATTTACCAGAATACAATATGCTTTATATGATTATGTGCATTTCTCATGGAAGAAAAGTATACTTTTTGTGAATTTTTATTGCTGTTGTTCTTTAATGCGATTTTTATGTTGTTCTTTAGTGAGATTTATATGTTGTTCTTTAGTGAGATTTATGTTGTTCTTTAGTGAGATTTATATGGCAATCAATAAAGCTGAAAAAGCATACGAAAAGTTATTATTCAGAGAAGCTTTGAAAGTGGGTTTTTTTGAACTGCAAGTATCACGTGATAAATACAGAGAAGTTTCGTTAGATAAAATGCATAAAGAACTCATTTTCAAATATATTGAGGTAGTTATAATATGTCCAAAATATATTGAGGTAGTTATAATATGTCCAAAATATATTGAGGTAGTTATAATATGTCCAAAATATATTGAGGTAGTTATAATATGTCCAAAATAGGTTTTTTAATCTAAAAGGATTAAATTATTATAACAAAGATTAAATATAATCATTATTTTTAAATTAAAAAAACTTTTAACAAGTTTTTGAGAAGAAATTTTTAGTGAAAGTTTCTTAAATTTTGCATCATCTTTTTTTACTTAGTGTATGGATTGAATTATATTGATTGGTGTTATATTGAATTGTGTTGAATATAAGTTTTTATAATATTAAATTAGTATTGAATTGTGTTGAGTATGAGATTTTATGATATTAACCTAGTATTATGTTGAGTTTATAAGTTTTAAACTGAAAAATGGATTAATCTCTAAATATAAGACGTATAGATTAATGCCCATATATTAAATAATGACGATGTTTGTTTAAAGCAACAAGACACTGGCAGTGTCAAATCTTTTGGCATAAACCAATTATGCATTTTAAAATACTATTCTGTGAAAAAATATGAAATAGAAGTGGTGTCTTTTTTCAAGCAATGTGGTGGACAATGAACACTCAAAGAAAACCTTACAGTCTAACCTATGTATGATATAATTTACTGCACACAAAGTTAAAGCTACAAGAAGATGTGTCATGTGTTACAATAAACCAAACAAACTAGAAAAAAATTGTGTTAACTTTGTGTTAAATGTGACATTGGATTGTGTTTTGTACTTTGATAAATATCACACTGCTGAAAATAGTGATTGTGTTCATTAGTCTCAATCACTATTTTTAATCAATCTATTGATCAATCTCAAAAACTTTTTACTGAGTACTGCTATTGTGTCTCTATTACTTTTTAATGAGGCTAACTGCTATTGTGTCTCTTAATTTTTATTGAGGCTAACTGCTATTGTGTCTTTATTACTTTTTTACTGAGGCTAACTGTGACTCTAGAATAGTAATGCATTGTAAGTGAGTTTGAAATTGAAATTTATTGAGTGCATTTTAAATTAAAATGTATTGAGTGCAGTTTAAGTTTAGATGCATTTAGTAAGAGTTTGAAATTTGGTTATAAAGTCATGCTTTATAATAGATTTGTTTTTTTATTTATAACATATTAAAACTTTATAGAGCATATAAATATTATCATTTATTATTGATGATTAAATAAAAAATAACTTTAAGGTTCAAATTTTGCTGTTATCACCAATTTGTCCTCACATTTGTGAACACATTTGGCAACTTCTTGGAAAGGTTCGTTTATATTTTTTTAGTATTTGTTAAATAGTTTTTTAGCCAATTGATGCTTTTTAGAATGACTAATAAAATGCGCGCAAGCTATCTAGTAATAAATTGCATGCTAATTTGCCAGAATTATAATGTATATTGATTGAGCAGTATTATAAGGCATCTTGATAGGCAAGTATAAAGCAAAGAAGAGTATGGTTATATTTTTTATAATTTGCTGATTAAATAAACTAGTTATTTCTATTAGTGATGTTTTTTGTAAATTTATTTTAAGCAAATGTTTCTAATTTTTTTTTAAGCCTGGAAGCATTTTAAATGCAACCTGGCCTCAATCTGGGGAAGTTGACAATAGCTTGTTAACATCTTCTCAGTATTTAATGGACTGCAGTCGTGAGTTTCGTTTAAGACTGAAAAACATGCTTACTACTCGAAAGGTATTTTATTACTGTCATTCTTTTTATTAAAATTTTTTATGTAAATAATTACCACTTAAGCTTAATGTTCCATAAAAAGTTAATTCTAAAGATTCACAAAATATTGACTCAAAATAGGTTTTAAATTTTTGGCTTTTAAACAATCTTACAAATTTTACTTCTTCTTTTTTTTTTTAACTGGTTTTTATTTTTACTTTTTTATCATTAACAAAAAAATTCTGTGTGTGTGTGTAAAAGTCCAGCTGTACCCTCATATTTAAAAAAATATGCCATGATACATAAAAGTTATTTAAATTTCAGAAAGGAAGTCCTGAAGTGGTGAAACCCAACTGTGCTTCTGTCTATATTGCAAAAGAATATCCGCCTTGGCAAAAAACTGTTTTACTTGTTCTTCGTAGATTATATGAGACCAATAACAACTCTTTCCCTGATAATAAAGAAGTTATGGCTATATGTAAAGATGAAGAAATGGTCAAAAAACATATGAAGAAATTGATGCCTTTTGTAGCTTATGTTAAGGTTAGCTTTTGTTTAAGGTTAATGTTTAGTACTTAAGTATGAATATATACATATCATAATTATACAAAATAATATTACATTGGAAATAATAACATTTGCTATAGAATTAATTTACCTATCGATACAATATTTTGGTAAGATGGTTTACAAGAAATTGTACACATGTATAGATATGTAATTTAGTACTTTTCCCATCACAGTATGGACATGCTATTTTATGATTATAATGGTTTTAAATTAAAAAATATAATCACAGTAGTTAGAGATAAATTATTAAAAAAATTGAAATTAAAGTTTATTAATGACTCACAAAAGCAGTTCATGTTAAATTAATTCTAAGTTTATCAAAAAATATCTTGGTTTTGTATTGGATGATCATGTAAAAATTAAAACCACCTAAATAGGGGAGGTGTTAAGTCGCAAATATTTGGCTTGGACAAAATTAAAAGATTTTAAAATTCAGCATAGTTGCCTTTATCAAAAAGTCCTATAGAATTCTATAAAAATTTGAAACAAAAAAAACTTCAGATTTGAACTCCATTAAATTAAAACACATAAGTTAAAAAGTGTTAATAGTTATCTAAATTTTCTCTTTCTCCTGTAGGTCCTATAGGACTTTTTTGGCTAGGGTGCTCTGTCGTATGTATTTATGTGTACGTAAAGAGTTTTCTTAGCGTTTATGTTAGTTATACCTTACCATGTTTTTTGTTTTGTTGCTTTTTTATTTTATATAGTGTTTTTAAAATTTAGGATCGTGTGCAGAGCGAAGGTGCCTCTGCAATGGATCTCACGGTTCCTTTTGACGAAACGGCTGTGCTAACTGAAAACCTGGCTTATTTATTAAAATCAGTTGAGGTAGGCTTGCGTTAATAGTTATATGAATAATTATTATATAAATAAAGAGTAAAACAATCCAAGTGTTTTGTTCCAAGGACAGAACTTAATTTATGTTTTATATGATTTTTATGTTTATTTTTAAATTTAATTGGATTTGATAGTTTGCATAAAATTGACTCGCTGTTTTTCTTTAAATATAGTAGCACTATGAAATAGTTGCTATAATTTTAAGAAAGTAAAATACATTTTTTTTAATATACACGCATCTTAGTGGACCTAGGTCTATCATGTAAACTTAAAAAGGTGCACAAAATAGCTTATTGCTGCAATTTAAATCAATTTTTTTCGGGCGAGTCAATTTTATGTGAAATACAACTTTAATGTTAGTATGTTAACAAAAAATTGTTTATTTTTTAGTTAGAAAAAATTGAAATCAAACCCTCTTCTGATGCAGAAGCTAAAATTCAAGAGGAATGCCTGCCTGGAAGACCTTATTCTGTATTTAAAACTAATTAACTTATAATTGCATTAAACAACTCTCTACTTACTTTTTAATATTTTTAATATTTAATAACCAGCTTACTAAAATAGAACATTTGCTCAACAGCCTAATAATAAATCGTACTGAATTATTCATCAAGTTAATAACTATGATTATTTACTGATTTATTCTTTATGTTCAAACAAATTTGTACTAATTCATCGTGTTCGAACCAAAGTTAAGCAAAGTTCATATCAATCATGCATCAATATTTCTGTAATCCAAAAGTCAGTCAAGAATCAAGGGTTTTGTAACATTTCTCATGAGGGTTTTGTAACATTTCTCATGAGGGTTTTGTAACATTTCTCATGAGGGTTTTGTAACATTTCTCATGAGTCTTCATTTAAAATCTTACTCAAACTATTTATTTTTTTACATTTTTTTGATGAGGCAAAAATTACAAGGTAGCTAAATTAACTTCAATTGATATAAAAATGACTGAAACAATCTTGTTTTGAATTGTTATGATCAAAAGTCTAAAGACTTCTTATACTAGGGTTGTTCGCCGAAAAACAAAACTTGCGAAAATTTCGCATCTTTATCTACCGTAATAGAATTGTTATTACGGAAGTTGCACATGCGAAAATGCACATTCCGTAACTCGCTATACGAAAATATAAATAAATAAAATTCCGTAATAAAGCATTGCGAAAGAAAACTTGCGAAACAAATCATTTCGTAAGAATACTTACGAAATAGTTCCTTACGGAAAAAGCATTCCGGATGTGTAGTTACGAAAAAGACGCAAAAGATTTTATGTTACGATATATTTAAAATATTAACTGTTAACAGTTTAAATAATAAAATTATAAAAAAATGTTGTCAAATGATTCTTCAAATGTTTATACAAATATACCTAATATATATATATATATATATATATATATATATATATATATATATATATATATATATATATATATACATTAACGGGATTTTACTGTATATATATGTATATATATATGTGTATATATATATATATATATATATATATATATATAAATATATATAAATATATACTTATATATACAGTAAAATCCCGTTAAGTTGGACTCTCAATGAATAGATAAACAGTATGCATTTTTTTTTAAAAAGTATAAAGAGGATGTGTGATAAACAATTAAATACTTTATTATAAAGAACGAGAGATCTCTCTAAAGGTAAATAATATCAGAAAGAGTAAAAAGAGAAGAAATATATGTGAAACAGCGGGATGTGAACCTGGGTCTACGCGGCCAAATGTCTTAACTGAATGAGCTATACGTTCATTCAACTAAGAGAATAGTAATATTTATTTAATATATAATTTGAAACTATATAAAACAGAATTTACAGAAAGAGATACGTATGCAAATAGGATTCTATATATCAGGAAAATGAATAGTAATGTGAACCTTTAGATGCTTATAATTAATATCTGGACTCAAAAACTAGTTACTTTTAATGGAACACAATAGGCTGTAGGAGCCTCAGGGAAATTATATTCAGAAATGATTATATTAGACTCAGAGTCAGCTAGAAATTGTTACAAAGTATTTAGGACAGATGTCTAGTACAAAAAGCAAAAGATTTAAAGCAAAATGAATTATAATATTTGAAAAAATTGTTTTACGTACATTTCATCATAATTTAAGTAGAACTTAGTAAAGCAAGGGAAACGTGTTGAATTAAGCACAATGAACTCAATCTTAAAAGAATAACTAACAGAAGAGAGGTTGTCACTATTGTGAAGGCGACGAAAGATCTGTAATATAGAACATGGAGGTCAAAAAATGCTATCTTAAGTAAAAAGAGTTAGATGAACAAAAGTTACAATGGCTGCGGCATGCGAACCCGGATCTCTGCGGCGAATTATCACGTATCTAACTGATTGAACTATACAATCTTATACTCAAATTTATATCTTATTAAAATTAAAAAACAATATTTTCTATGATCTATACTCTGAAAAGCGTATTCAAACTCTACATACCTTTAAAATCTGCTAGAGTTTTAGTAACGTGCACATTTTTAGAAATTATTGAAATAGGTATATTTTATCAGAAATATGCTTAAGCTAAAGCATATTTTTGAGCCTCTTTTTACTATTTGCTTAAGCATATTCGAACCTGTTTCAAAAATTTCATATGCTTTAAAAAAAAAACATGTATATTCCTACCCATCATTCTTATTTTTAATATACGTAATGAGTTCAAAAAACATCGTTGTATATATTTATTATGGCACGTTTCGTAAGTTTATTTCCGTTAAGAATATTGCAACATTATCATGCTACTGCAACATTATCTGGGCAAGTACTTATCCTTCAAAGTTAAATATGATCTACAAAATACAAAAACGAGCAATTCGCTTGATATTAAATGCAAATAAATACGCTAGTGCCAAACCACTACTAAGAGAAATTGGAGTGCCTAATGTCTATGAAATAAATATTCTTAATATACTTATTTTCATGTTTAAGTTTAAAAATGGTATGCTACCAAGCATTTTCCAAACTTATTTTTTTTCTTTAAACCACAAATACGAAACTAAATACTCAACAAATAATTTTATTATACCAAAAACATTATCAAAACAAGCTGATTTTTCGATATCTTGCCGAGGGCCGCGGTTATGGAACTTGCTTTTAACAAACAATATAAAAACTTTAAATTCAACCCAACATTTTAAACGTGCAACAAAACAACACTTATTTGGTTTTGACACAAAGCAATTACTATCGTATTATTAAAAACTTTTGGTAATCTTAGTTATTTAATGTCTTATAAATTGACTCAACATCACAATTATATTGTATGGTACTTAGAACATGTATGATTTTATTTTACAATACGTAATTTGTAAATGAAATATTTATTATATCTTACGCAATTTGTAGATGGAATGTAATACAGATTTATTTGATTTGTATGTATATATGAACGGACATATATTTGTGTGTACGTGTGCGTATGTGTGTGTGTATGTGTGTGTATGTGTGCGTATGTGTGTGTGCGTGCGTGTATAATAAAAAATAAAAGTCGAATAAAATAGAGAATTAAAAAAAAATAATAATAATAATGAGAAGAAATAATTAATATTTTTTTTTTTTTTTTTCTCTTTCTGTAAATAATAATTTGATTTTTAAGTTCTTTTCTTCTTAAAATCAGTTCTTGCTTTAGTTTCTTTTTTCCTTTTTCATTTTTATCGGCTGAATTTTTTAGTTATTTTAACGGGGCTGGATGATAAGATCATGTCTTCTGCCAGCTCCGGTCGAAACTTTAATGTTATAATTTTTATGTTGTAAAAAAACATTGTAAAAGATTATTCATTTAATGACAAAAAATAAAAAATAAATAAAATAAGAATTCTTTCGTATGTTGTGATCCGAAATACTTTCGTTTCGAAAGAAATTTTATTTTTTATCAATATTTCTAAAAATAAAACCGTAAAAATTTAATAAGTTATTTTACTGAAAATAAAAATTCATTATAAACATTTTGGGATTTAAAGATGTTAATTTTTACAATTAAAATCAGTCTGGCAAACCAATTTTCTTTATAGACTTCAAAACGTCGTTTGGCGAAAATGTTTGTTTCGCAAGTGCGACTTCCGAAACCGCTACTTTCAAAATGTTGCAAATGTATGTTGCAAAATAGTTTTGTTTCGTATGTCAACTTGCGAAATGCTAAATTTCGGAAGTGGCTTTTGCGAAATGAACATCGGCGATTTTAAATGTTTTGTAACATTCGGTACGAAAAAATGTAATTCCGTGTTCTCAATCTCCTTACGAAAGAATGTTGTTTTTCCGGAATTGCACGAAATCCTCCGGTTAACAACCCTATCTTATACTTAAATATTTTTATCAAAGGCTCAACAAAAGCATTACTGCGTTAAATTCTAGTTCATCTATAGAAAAGCGAAAGCAGCAATTATTAAAGGGCTAGAATAGCAAATTTTAAAACAAACTAATAGAAAAAAATTTAATAATATCGGGTTGACACGGAAAAATCCGGTCAACTTTAAATTGAGATTTCTCTAAAACCACAAATACTTTTTTTTTTTAATTAAACTTTACTTCCTTATATTTATTTGTGTTGATAAACTTTTGTTTACAAATTAATCATTTGCAAAATGTTTCAGAAACAAATTGAGGTGCGTAAAAAAGTTGTGAATTTTTTTTGCAAAAATCTATCGACTACATATCGTTTGATTGCTGAACGTACAAATGTTCCAAAATATACAGTCAGATATTATAAATAAGTTCAAGACTACTCAAAGCTTCGGAAGAAAACCTTGAAGTAGAAGAAAGAAAACTTTCCATTAATCCAAAAAAGTAAAGGTTTAATAGCAAGAAATCCAAACAAGTCACAGCAAGATTTTTTTTTTTTTTTTTTTCTGATTAACATCGTATAATATTATTACAATGCACGTATACATATGGAATCTCATAAAATAAAATATAAAAGTAAAAACATTACAACAAATTTAAGTTAAATCAGATAGGGGCTCAAAGAAGATAAGGATAACATTACGTTATCGCAATCTTTTCATAGAACCCCTAGGTACAAGTTTAAATAAAACAACGTAAGAATAAATAGCTCGTATAAAAATATATTAATAACAATGTTATCATTAAAAAGTCAAGACAAGGTTAAATTGATCAAAAAAGTAAAAAGAAAAAACTTTATCTTAAGTTCAAATTTTAAAAATTTCTTTTTTTAATTGAAGCTTAAATGAATTTAAAGACTTCACCATAAATTTAAATTCCTTTTGACAGTGATTCCATAATTTAGGTCCTCGATAAGATATACAAAATTCTGAGAGTTAATTACATTTCCGAGGCAATTTAAAGTTTTTATTTCTATTTGATCTTAGACCATGCTTTTCATTTGAATTTATATTTGATATATTTGATATCATTGCATAATTAATAAAACAGTGTATCAGTCCAAAGTATATTAATTTGAGGCTTAACATATTGACGTATGGTCTAACCCTATACATTACGCCAATAGTTTTGGTAACTTTTGAATGTATGTAATTTATATGGGGAAGCCAGGATAAAGTTTCATCGACAAGGATTCCGAGGAATTTTATACTTACTTGTTTTTTAATATATTGTATCATTTAAGTACAGTTTGCACAATTTAAGAGGAATGTTTAATTCTTGTGTTTTTTTATGGAATAGAGTAAAGTTGGTTTTCTGAACATTAAGTGTGAGTTTGTTAGCATTAAACCAACTATTTACTTTATTCAATTCTATGTTTATATATGTATTAAGATGTTTAATATGATTATTGGTATGAAATTAGTATCGTCTGCAAACATTATTGAGTTCAGTTTTAATGATGCATTACAAAAGTGGTTAATATAGATTAAGAATAAGAGCGGACCAAGGATTGATCCTTGTGGAACTCCGCAAACGACATTTAATATTCCATTTAAAATTTAAAGGCGTTTTTGCCGCTAATTACTTCATATAAATTTACGCTAATTGTACTGATTTCTGTTATCACAACATAAAGACGATTCGAAAAAAATAAAGCAACTTTAACTTCATTTCTTATATCTAAGAAATCTTTAAGTATGCTCATATTACCAAGATGCTCATATTACCCTAATCTACCCTATATGTAACTTTATTTCTATAGTGCTACTTGCCAGCTATTATTCATGAGATCATTCTTTATGATCATTTATTTTTCAGAAGAATGTCTCCTCCAATAAGCATGTTATCAAAATAGCTATCCAAAGCGAAGCATTATGAAGATTTAATTTATTATGTTCATATGATATATTAGTAATTTAAGCAAACTTTCAAATTTGAATAATTTTCAACTTCCACATGAAAAAGTTATTAAACTTTAGTCATGATACCTAAGCTACATTTTTCAATTTGAACAATTTTATTATTTTAATTTTAATTATTGTCAATATAATTACAGTGTTTTATCTTTGATAGAAAATTTTTAATTAATAATAAGTAAGATAAATGCTTAGCATACTTTATTTATATATGGTTGTTGCAATTCTATCAAACTTACACTTATATTTCACAATTATATTTAGCATTCGCGCTTATATGACGCATTTTGTATAAAAAACTGATTATGACTACAAAAAGCTTGTTTTTATACAAAATAAAGTATCCGTATTAATAAAATAAAAAAGCAATTTCAGTAGTAGTACTGTCCTCACATAAATACGTATATATTTATATGAAGGCTGTACTACTTAGCGTATGTTACAGAAACAAAAAGTCTCCAATTAGGTAAAATAGCTTGTTACCATGCAAAATTAGATATTTGTACTAACCAAACAAAAAATACTTCTCTTTATATGAACCACATGTTAGTAGTCATGCCAGACTTACTTTAACATAATTAAGACTAAATTATATATTAATTTTTCTTTAAAATTTGCTGTTCTGATCTGCTTTGGCCACCCACTTTTTCATCAAAATTTTTTAACTTTGATATAAAATAATAAGCTTTTGTAAATATTTTTTTTTTTAATAATTTTCTTATTTAGATGCTCTAATTCCGCGGTCCATTTAACCATTCCTAGTTAAATGCACCGCGGAAGTGCATTTAACCAGGAAGTTCACGCCTCCTTCCTTACCGTGACGCGAAAATATGTTCAGAGCTCGTTTTGAACCTGGATTTCCTGCTTCTAAAGCAAGCGTTCTAACCACTGCGCCACGGCCGCACATATAAATATAATATAAAATATGAAAAAAAAAATTCTGACCCTACCCCTCCCACCTCAACCCCAACAAAAAAATCGGCAACTCGATCCTTGGTTACAGATCATGTAAAGTATACACCATTAAAATAAATATTGCTAGTAGGCAATCAATGCAAAGTTTATATGGATTTATATGGATACACATTATATAGGCTATAAACTCAATCACTGTCATTTAAAAATTGTAGACTATATTATGCGTTTTTTATTATATATATTATGCTTATTGTTTTTAATAAATAGTTTAGTAAAATGAGTATATAATATAAATGATCTTATTCAGTGACGGAATCAGCAAACCCCCCGGCCCCTTCCCCCCCTCCACACTGCGCTTCCTAAGTTGCTCAACCGGCGCCGCCTATAATCTAAGTTTCTCATTACAAAATTCTGCATTTATTTTAAACTGAAATAGTACTCTAAGTAACGATAAATCATCGCTTACATACCTGCTTTACAAATTCGCTTGCATTTATGGCAGAAAACAAAGTGAAAACGTTTTGCTAAGAAATTATTACAATCATAATGTACACAGTCAATAAATTTTTAGCATAGTTTGGAGTATTAAAACTACTGTGACTGTACAGTGACAGATGTTCATAAAACTAAAATGATTTTGCAAATGGTAAACAACTTTTTTTAAAAGAAGAAAAAGAAAAAATCATAAACAACTGACTTCAATATTATGGTGCAATTTAGATTAGAAAAGGTTTTCGACAAAAACCCGTATGGCACCACACCCCATTCGCGCCGGTTCTATATTCAAAGATGTGTATGCATCAATATCTCCAGCAATTACGACTAAACTACAAATGAAAGACGTATATATTTCGTATATGAAGAAATTATGTTTTCCTAACTTTTCTATTCTCAACAAAATTGACTTTACACCTGCCTATCACGGCGATTTTTTTTCTTCCATAAAAATTCCCATAGCTTTCTTTTGAGAAATACAAAATTTGGTTCAAAACGTCCGCAATTTTTTAATTTTTGTGAAAAGTTGCAAAAAATTACCATCTTTATTATTAAATTAGGGCTATAGATATATATTTATTTATTTTTGCATATAATGTATTTTTAAGTGTAAATATATATCGTGTGGTTTTTAAAAATGATGTGTGTATGATGAAAGAAATTTCAGGAGATTAAACATCAATAATTTACTGTGATCAACAATGAAAAAAAAAAATCTTTTTGGATTGACTTTAGTTTTAATTAAATATGAGCTTGCTAAAAGCTCATATTTGATTAAAACTAATGTAATGGTGCGCTTGCCTAAGAAAAAATATGATTGGACAGAAAGAGATCAGTCACTTTCAAGTTACAACACGGTCGTTTAGACTTTAGAAATAAGTGGAAAGTTATTATACGCAAGCGCAGTAGAGTTAAAAATAATTTAGAATTTTAAAAATGGCTACGGATGTAACGTTTTTAAAAACTTATCATTGACAACGAGTAACTTGTTTAATTTTAGATAATTTAATAGGCTTTTAACTATTTTTAAAATAAAATTATTGTGAAAATAACTTGCAGCTTTACTAAGAAATGTTTTAAATAAAATACAAGTCCTCTGAATGTGAATAAAATCTACTTTCAGCTAAAGCTACTTTTACTGTTTTTGTTTATAATCTTTAAACCTTTTTTAAAAAAATTTTGAGCGTAGAAATTTTTAAATTTTTATTTATTCAGCAAGATGAACCTTTTATCTTTTTTGCATTTTTTGCTTTTATGAGGATTCAATTTTTTTTGCAGGGTTAAAATAAAATCTTAATCGTTAACTTTTTGTAACCTGTTGCTACGATACTCCTTTCTGATGTATATATATATATATATATATATATATATATATATATATATATATATATATATATATATATATATATATATATATATATATATATATATATATATATATTTATATATATATATATATATAAAATATATATATATATATATATTTTTTTTTATTTATATTTATTTATATATAAATAAAAACACAAACAAGTTTTGAACTTAAAGCATAACTTTGATAAATTATTTAATTTTTAGATATAAAGCTATATAAAGTGTGTAATATTCGTAATGCAATAGAGACAAACAGAAAAAAAAGCAACATTAGTATAATTTAAAAAATGTAAATTTATTTTATGCATCAAATAAATATCAATCAACACAAAATAAAAGATCAAAATATAATTCAAATGAAAATATAAATATCTTTTATGCATTAAAAACATTTTTCATTCTTTCAATCTTTAAGTAAAAAATATTTTAAATATACTCATATTGATTTTAACAATCTCAAGCTGAAAACATTAAAAAAAAAAATTTAAACACGAAACACAAAAAATATTTATATCGAGTTCCAAGAAAAAGTCTTTCTGCTTTAGTTTACTTTTCCCTTCTTTACAACAGGCAAGTTTCTTTGTTGAAACGCGAATATGGTTGGAATACTAAAAAAATATATACTATAATATTTGTTTGTTTTAAATCAATTTTTATCATAATTTATTAATTTTGAATCAATATGTACAAAACCAGACTGATGATTCAATCGATAGAATCAAAATGATAGCATTCAATCGATAAAATCAAAAACATAACTAATGGTATTGCTTTGATGCAGGCAATACAGTTGATTTATTTGAGGTTATTGACTAAATCAAAAGCCTGGAATAATAACATTCAAAATTTTGATCATAGATAAGTGTGCATAAATATATAATGTATGTATGCGTATATATATATTTATATATATATATATATATATATATATATATATATATATATATATATATATATATATATATATATATATATATATATATATTAGGGTCTTGTGAATTGCTTCGATTCGTGAATCAAGTGTCGCTTCGATTCGAGTCGAAAAAAAAAAAATTCAAGTTTTTTCAAATCATATTTTTGCGAATTATTTTGCTAATATTGCTGGTTTTTTTAGATTTCTAAAGCTAAAATGTAATTGAAATGGGTTTTTCAAACCGGGGGAAGAAAAAGTAATTGAAAATAGTTCTAACATCACTTTAAAACAAACGCCAAAAATATAATCAGAGCAAAAAGAATTTGTTCAAAAAAATATTTTTATCTTTTTGGAAAAAAAAACAAACTTAAACTTGGTTTTCACGAATAGCTGATTCGATTCATGATTCGATTCGCGGATCAAGAACTGCTTTGAGATTCAATTTGAAACAAAAAATGTCAATTTGCAAGGCCCTAATGTATATATATATATATATATATATATATATATATATATATATATATATATATATATATATATATATATATGTTACCAACATATAACAATATTATGTTACTAACATATAAAAATATTATGTTACTAACATATAACAATACTATGCTCTCTTCTTTAAGAATATTGAGCACTCTTTGACAGTCTGTTCAACTCCTTCAGAAGGTTTATCAAAAAAATAGATAAGTGTTTATATTATATATATATATATATATATATATATATATATATATATATATATATATATATATATATATATATATATATATATTTAAACAATTTAAAAAATGTATTCTACAAAATAGAGTGCTCAATGTTCTTAAAAGAACAGTGCAAATTTCTGATGATTCTTGATGAAACACAGTGTAAAATGAAATAAAATTTTGTTAAGAGATTTTTTACTAATTTATTATATATATATATATATATATATATATATATATATATATATATATATATATATATATATATATATATATATATATATATATATATATATATATAGCCACATCGGAAAAGAGCACCATAGCAACAGGTTACACAAGTTTAATGATTAAGATTTTCTTTTAACCCTGCAAAAAAAATTGAATCCTCATATTAGGTACGTGGACTGATTTTTTTAAATTTATTAAATACTAGAATGTTATATATCATTTGAAAGCCCTCAAATACAGTATTTTAAAGGTGAAAAAATTATGAAAATCGGACAATTCTATCAAAAGTTATGACGTTTTAAGTAGCAAATTTTCGATTTATGGATTTCTTGATAAAACTGTGGTCAAAAAAAATTTTTTTTCACATAAATTGTTATAACTTTGCTAATTCTTATTCAAATATCTATAACTTGGTATCGAAAGATAGGTGTAAAAAAGAACTATAATTTTCAATTAAATTTTAGGTCAAGGGCGCATCCAGAAATCCGGAGGGGGTGCTAATCCACCAACTACACCTCACAAAAATACACTTTTTTTCATAAAAAAGTGTTTTTCTTTTAAAAATTACAAATATCTATATACAAAAAATTGTTATTATTTTATTCCACATCACTAGTGAATATTACAAGTCTATCTCAAAGTCGGGTGTTGGGTTTTGAATAAGGTTTAACACCCTATCAAAATTTCATTCTTTTAAATATTTCAATCTTTACTAAAACAATTAATTTTAGTATAAAAAATAAAAAATATATTTCGATACTTGTAAAAATAGTAACTAGTGGTGTATAAATTGACTTCATGGAAGGGGGTGTAAGCCGCCCCCCTTCCGCCCAATACCTAAAAAAAAAGTTTTAATTAGAATTTAACAAAAAAAGTTTAAAAATGCTTTTTAACCGCATATAAAATAGTATAAAAAACTGTTTTACCATGTTACAGTGGTGTATAAATTGTCTTCATAAAAGGGGTGCAAACCGCCCTCCTTCCGCCCAATACCTAAAAAAAAGTTTTTATTAGAATTTAACAAAAAAAGTTTTAAAATGCTTTTTAACCACATATAAAATAGTATAAAAAACTGTTTTACCATGTTGCAAGACTGCAAATAGATACAGCAAGTTTTGTGGCTTGCAAACAAGTACAACAAGTTTTGTGGCTTGCCATTAGGTAAAGCAAGTTTGTTGTTGAACTCCAACCTAAAAAAAAAACACAAAGCAGCAAGTCTTTTGAAATAAAAAAAAGTAATTAACTATTGTCTTGGCTTTTAGTAAATGATTTATGTTTTGAATTCCATTTATGAACTAAATAAATCATTTTTAATGATAGACACCATGTGAAGGTAAGCCAGAGCCATCTATCAAAAAAAATTTGCAAGCCACAAAACTTGCTGTACCTATTTCCAAGACACAAAACTTGCGGTACTTGTTTGCAAGCCACAAAACTTGCTGTACTTATTTGCAATCCACAAAACTTGCTGTACCCATTTGCAAACCACAAAACCTGCTGTACCTATTTGCAAGCCACAAAACTTGCTGTACCTAATTGCAAGCCACGAAACTTGCTTTACCTAATGGCAAGCCACAAAACTTGTTGTACTTGTTTGCAAGCCACAAAACTTGCAGAACTTTTTTTTCAAGCATTTTTACATTATTTCATATTCAAACTAAGAAAATATTAACTAATACAACATCAGCAGCTAGCTGGATTTTTTTCATCTTATGCTCAACAGCTTCAATATCAGTTTTATCTTGTTTTCAGTAAGAAATAGTGTAAATTCTATCATTTTGTCTTTTGCTTTTTCTAGTCTACCATCATAAATGATAGACTTTGATGAGTCAGTATCATACCATTCATGACAGAGTTTTCTGCCAGCAATTTTTTCAGACATCACATCATCTAAATCTTCAAGTTGTTTTGCAGATAAGTGTTTGTATAAATTCATCTTTTCAATGATAGTTAAGATTTCAAAGCATTATGAAGCATTTTATATAAACCCTTACAAAAAAAAAAAAATTAAAAACTTTTATTTAGAATTGGCTTATTTAATATAAAATACTTTTATAAAATATAAATAAGCATTAAAGTTTTTCAAAAACGAAGAACAATCATAAAAAAATATTTCAATTTATACATTAACCTGCAGAAGATTGTGCTGCAGGAATTTAAAGTTAAAAATTGATGTAAACAACAAAAATAAAATGAAATTGGGTTTAAATTTATAGTATAATTTTAATGAGATAGACTATGCACTGCTAACAAAGAAATAGTTTTTTAACATACCAACAAAAGCAGATGTAGATGCAGCTAAAAATCAAAAAAAAAAATGTAATTAACAAAATAAATGACTTTTTTAGAAAAATCAAAACACTGCTGAAAAATATTTAGTTTTTAAACTTACTATTTGTGAAAAGGATGTACTCAACCAAAAAAATATTTGATTTAGGCATTAAATTATTACAGAGATTAAAAAGTAATAGCTTTTAAACTTTGTAACTGTGGCAGATATAGATTAAAAAAAGGTGTAACCAAGTAAAAAAGTATTAGAAATTGGCCTTACATACACATATTACATACAAAGTGAACAAAGAAATAGCTTTTAAACTTTCTAAATGTGGTAGATGTTGATGAAACTAAAAGTAAAAAAAAGCTGTAATCAAAAAGAAAATTGAGTTTGATATTAAATCTATAGTATAGCCATAACAAAAGAAATGATATCAACATCCACAGCAGGTGTCGATAAAGCTTAATGTAAAAAAGGTGTAATTAATAGCAAAAAAGAAGGATGTAGATGCAACTAATATCACGAAAAGATGCAATATAAAAATAAACAAAAAAAGTTGAAAATGGGATTAAATCAATACATTACTGAAAAAGAATTGACTCTAAAACTTACCAACTGTTTCAGATGTAGATGGAACTAAAACTAAAACTAAAAACAAAATGGATGTTATCTACAAAAAAAAAAAGATATTGGCAATAAATCTTTCACAAGTTAAAAAATAATAGCTTTTAAATTTACTAATCACAGTTGTTTAAGAAATGACTTGAGATAAAAAACATATGAATTAAACCAAAGCATACATTAAATTTCTACTTATATAAACATGACCGAAATTGCAATATACAAACTTACCAGTGGAAGGCTGAGTTGATTGGACTAAAATTAACAAGAAAACTGTATATCAAAATAAAAAAAACACCTTAAATTTGACAACAGTAAGTGAATAAGTGACAACAATCAAACAAGTTCTGGATAATGTGCAACAACTTTATTGATAAAGTATATAATGAAAACATAATTACACAAGTAAACATTAAGAAAGGTTGTATAATGATTTAAACAATAAAAGAAAGATTATAAAAAAGATATCTTTTGTATTAAAAAACTTTTAAGACATCAAAATGTTTATTTCATTATGAATAACATTAAAGATTATATTGTTCATGTCATCCCTATATGTCACTATTATCTATCATATCTATACATCTATACATCACTATCATATCGATACATCTATACATCACTATCATATCTATACACCTATACATCACTATCATTCCTATACACCTATATATCACTATCATATCATATCTATACACTATACACTACTATCATATCACTATACATCACTATCATATATCACTTACGGAATCTCAAAAACTGATGAAATTGTAAGCCTGCATCTAAACAAGAAAGAAACATTAGAAATGTTTGTGTAATGATTTAAACAATAATTAAAAGACTAAGTATTATACAATAGATAAATCATAAAAGATTAACATACCAAATGTTCTCAATGTAGATAAAACATAAGGTAAAAAAAATGTAAAGAACAAAACATACATAGTTTTTGCCAACAAATCTATACATAGTTGTTTTTTAAAAAAAGTTTTCAAACTTACCAACCATAGCAGATGGTGACAAAGCTAAAGGTAAAAAAATTAACCAAAATAACTTTGATTTCGACATTAACTCTATACAGATCTGAAAAAATTTGTCACTGGCAGATGTTGATAAAACTAAAAGAAAAATAAAGTGTCATCAAATAAAATAAAAAAAGGTATTAAACTTATAGTATAGCTTTAAAGAATAAGTAGAAACACCTAATAAAAAAATACTTATTTAACTTACCAACTGCATCAGATGACGATGAAGCTAATGTTAAAAAAGGTGTAATATATAAAAAAAAATACACATTTTTGGCAACAAATCCAATAAAACAATTTTGTAAAGAGCAAAGAAAAGTACTGAGTAAATAACAAATAAAATAAAGGTGTAAATAACGAAAATTAGGGGTGACTTAAAAAAAACATTGAGTAGGTTTTATCTAGTCAATGATTTTCAAAAGTTTAACAAAAAAATACTTGTAAAAGTAATAAACAATAGTATTATTATGAAAAAACATATGAAATTACTATCTGTTTGATTACCCAGTTCATTTATATTATTCATTTTTTTAATTACTAACAATCTAAGTGAAACATTATGCAATAAACATTTTTAAAGAAAAAAAAACTCTCTCCCCCTCAGCCCCACCTCGGCTATTTTTGAAAACAGAAATTAGGTACCAAAAGTGTTTAACTGAATTAACTAATTGCTACATAATATTTTTTCATGAAATTTGGCAGGTGCAAAAGAAATGCATGTAGAAACTTATTTAAAAAATCAAAAAAGCGGAATATAGATTCCTTCAACAATAATTGAACAAGTAAACATCAACATAATTTTCATGAGCAAAATAGTCAAAAAAAAGGTATGACAATCATGTAAAAAAATAACACAAAAAACAAGCCTAACTCTTCTTCTTTCTGAAAATATACTATGTGTATATACGTTTCTGTAAAAAAAAACCAACAAAAAATCGTTTGCCTAACCCTACTCAAAATAATGAGACGGGAAATCCGCTAAAAACAAATCGGAAAAACAGAAATTAGGTACTAAAAGTGCTAAACTGATTTAACTATCTGCTACACAATATTTTTCAATAAAATTTGGTATGTGCAAAGAAAATGCATGTAAAAACTTATTTAAAGAATCAAAAAAGCGGAATAAAGAGTCCTTCGACAAGAATTTGACATGTAAACACCAACCTATTTTTCATGAGCCAAATGCTCCAAAAAATGGTAAGACAACCGTACGTAAAAATAACATAAAAAACAAGCTTAACTCTTCTTCTTTCCAAAAATATACTATGTTTATATATGTTTCCGAAAAGAAACTTCTCAAAAATACGTTTGCCTTAGGCTACCTAAAAAAAACGTCAAAAAAACGAGTCACAGAATTTTAGCACAAAATTCGGCTCCGTAAAT